CAGACCTTTCACTTCTTTTCTTACTGAAAAAGGTATAACACACAGACTGATTTGTCCTCACACTCACCATCAAAATGGTGTAGTGGAACGCAAACACAGATCCATTGTAGAAGAAGGTCTTAGTTTACTTGGTCCCTCTTCTCTCCCCTTCAAATTTTGGGATGCTGCATTTGATACATATGTTCATCTCATCAATAGAACACCTTCTGTCTCCATTTCTAACCAAGTACCATACACCAAACTCTATAATTCACTTCTAGACTATAACTTTCTATAAGTGTTTGGCTGCTCTTGTTACCCATTCCTAAGACCTTACAATAAGCACAAATTTTACTTCCACTCTGAGGAATGTATCTTTCTGGGTTATTCAACCCAACATAAAGGGTACAAATGCTTAGCCTCTAATAACAAAGTCTACATATCCAAGGATGTCATATTTCATCAAACACAATTTCCCTACCCTCAACTATTTCCTTCTTCACCTGAGACTGTTACCACTAATTCTCACTCTATTCTACCATTAACCATCTTACAAGGTCAAAACACTGCATTAGATGCAAGTTCTGTCTCCTTAACCTCATCTCCTTCCTCCAATACCAATGATCATCATCACTCAAATCCATCTTCTGTTTCCTCAACAATTAGTGCAACTACGTTTAATTCAAAGTTTTGAAATAATAAACCTTTTAAAATATTTCAATAAACATTTAAAAGTTTGAAAATAAAAATGGATATAGCAGCATGAAGTCCAAAATATGAATGGAGTTAATGGGTTTACATATATATGAAGTATATTTTATTTCATATAGAATTGAAATAGTTACAACGAGTTTTAGTTAGTCGATCACGAGTTTAGCCAAACAATAGAGACACAATACATTGATGGTGTGTTGTGTAGTGAATTGAAAAGTAGGGGTGCAAATGAGCCAAGTCGAGCACGAATCTGTGTAGGCTCGAGCTCGGGAATATATTGTACAGGCTCGAATACTTAACGAGTCGGCTTGAGCTCTAGTTTGACCAAACCTGATTCGAGCTTTGATCGAGCGGCTCACGAGCGGCTCGTCTCATTTGAACCCCTCATCGAAACTCGAAAGTAATAGATAGTGTTGGGAAGAAAAGTAATGTTGGCGGAAAGTAAAGTGATTCTGATCGAAAGTGCAATAATGTCGTGCAAAACGTCAACATGAAGTTTAACATATTCAATTGGATGAAATTAATGCAACATGCACATTTTCCTTATAAGGCTGTTCTAATTTCGTCTTTCAACGCTCTTCAAAATGACAGGATTTTTTTTTCTTTTCAATTATACTAATGAATAGGAATAAGCATAGTCATATTTTGGAAAATTGAGTATGCATGTCTTAGTCATATCATGAGAATTTTCCCTTTATCCTATCAAATATGAAATGCAATTTCAAATCTTAATATGATTCTTCAAACTTTGAACTACTACTAGCTAGTCTACTACTGATCCTACTATGAAGTTAATGAGCAACCATTTCGGGTTTAACATCATATTTCAAAATTGAGTAATCGTATGTAGAATAACGTCGGCATCGCGCGTTCACCATATAGGTTCCAAATCCCATATGAAGTATATCAATATAAAAGATATGAATTCCCTATGATTTTTCAAAGAAAAATGTAATGTGATTTGATCATTTGAGTCAATTTTCCTTTCTGTTATCTCGATGGAATTAGTTATTTCACTAGTTTGAAATCACAGTCTTGGCCAGATGGCAGTCATGGCCCGAAAACATTGCTGCTTTGTACTAATTTATATCACGTACTTCATGGAAATCAACTGTCAACTTCCCACCAAAAAATGATGGCCATACTCTCTTGTTAGCAGTTATCTCAGCTGGCGCATTAAATTTATTTAAATTTTCTTCTTCTTTCTTCTGAAAATAATGAACCAATTCAACTCTGGTCACGTTCTTCTAGGCAGAACTTTTGTTCTTTTCAATTTTGGTCTACCATCGGAGTGTTTGCAATTGCTTCAACTTTTAAAAAGTGATTTTTTAAAGTGATTTTGGGAAAAGTGATTAATAGTAAAAGTTGGTAGTGTTTGAGAAAAAAGTGATTCTAAAAAATTAAAAGTTGGTGGTGTTTGGTAAAATAAGTGCCTTTTGTGTAATAGAAAAAGTGAAAAGCAGTTTAAAACACCATTCTACCTGCTTCCTGCTTTTAGCTTTTAAGTGATTAATTTAAGCAGAAGCTGTCATTTGAAAACACTCTTTTCAACTTTTTTAAGCCAAAAACTGAAAAGCGCTTTTTTTAAGCAACCGCAAACACTCCCTTAAAGTGACTCGAAGTAAAATTTTACATGATGCATGTGGTTTTTATTATTATATCCACATACATGTACAAATTATAATTGAAACACTTAACAATGAAAATGTATGGTCCGGGTCAGAATTTTATCAATTCGGAATCTAAAAGATAGATCAACTGTCAATTCATAAGCGCAAAGGTGAAATGTATCAGTATAAGATCCAAATGATGAAAAATTATTAATCTAGAATCTGGGTTCTATAGCAATAAATTTCACCTTTCAAGTCACGTATTGATAATTCTGTCTTAGCTTTCAGATCCTAGATCGATAAAATTCCGTCATTTAATAAATGAGAAGATAGGGTGATCTAAGGAGAATTGAAGGGAAATTGGGAGGCTAATATCGAGACTTCGAAGTACGATGGGATCACGTACTAAGAGCTAAGTTTATTTATTGATCAAAGAAAATTTCTTCCATGTAATAATTTGAGAATATTTTAACTTTGATTAATTAGGAAGGAATAATATTCAGTATCCTTTTCAAACTCATTGAAAAAACTTACCTATGAATGGAGTAAATAAATTTAAAGGAAAGACCATTGTGAAGGTAGGAATTGGCATGACTAGAGATAATTAGAAGCCAATGGTAGCTTCTGAATTTTTTTAGATGTTCATCCACTTCATCGTCATTATAGAAAATTAGAAACCAGTGCTTGTACTTTCCGTTTAGTTTTCTGACTTTTCTGCATGTCATAAGTCAAACTACATACTCATAATGCACTAAATGATTATTGGGAATGTGCTGTAAGTATATTGTGTAGCAAATGGTGACTGCACATTTAATGTGAAGCTGATGCTAGTAATGTAATATTGTTGACATAATGACATTGAATTATACAAATGAGTAATCAATGATAATATTACAACTACATAATTTCAAAATAAATAAACGATTAAGTAATGCCCATGACCAAGGATAGGCATTGTATGTATGTGCCCTCATAAATTAGTAGTGTACTGTAACAGTGTAACACCGAAAAATTATACGAATAATTACATGAATAAATATGAATATTACAGTTTTGGATGTTGTCCTTTCTCAACCACTGTCACTAGTGTGTTGACAAATCTTCGTATGTGCTAAAGACAAAATTTGGGCTCAAAAAAAAAAAAAGATTCCAATATTGCAACTGAATAATTAGCTAGATCAATGAGATGTCAAGCTCCAAATTGGACTGAGCAGGTACAAAGTTTTTTTTTTTTTGAAAATATTTCATCGTAAAACATTTTACCCTAATTTAAAAGACAATTTATAAATTATGTCTAGCCCGGGGCCTGGGTTGATCCCCGTTGTTACGCACGGCCATGCAGGCCCAGTCCTGACATTTTGGAGACTTGGGAAATATTTAAAAATAGAGGCCCTTAAAATCATAATGTTGAAAATCAATTTTACTACAAATCAAAGTTCAATACACAAAGAATGTACTTTGCATAGAAAAATTACAAAAATCAATATCTTCAATGTCGAATGGATTCAAGAACTGCCAAAGCTTGCCTTCTCAATGCTGGAAAAAAAACAGTTGTAACAAATATCTATAACTTAGGAAGTATAATACTTCGTATTATATAGAGGAATGATCTTGAAAGGAATCGATGTCCGGTCGCCTCCATTTGAGTTTGTTTCGAGTGGAAGTTTATTATGAAATTTTATGATCTTAATTTTTATGAATTTAGATTATATCCATCTAATTTCACCTTAAAATTAACTTGATAAGTCTGCAAAATAAATTGATGAAAATACTATGCCAAAATGTACCTAAAAATACAGTATTTTTCAATAATTTATTTAAATAACTTAATTTACACTTAATTAAGGTGAAACTTGGTCGAGAAGTGAGAATGTTGGAGGAATGATCGATCAAGTATCAAAACACGCAGCAGCCATGTAAAGGTTGCATCTCCTCCTAGGCTGGATCCCTAACGCACATAGATATAAGGTCCACAGCCTCCAATATACCTTGTCAGATGGGAGAGTTCTTAAGAGTTCAACCCTTTTGAGGAATAATCAAATTCACGGCTTAAGCCTCTAAGGGTGTAATTAAATGCTTCAACCTGACTCCTATGTAAAAAAAAACACATTTCCGACCCTTTGAAAGTCACTGACATTGCAGTTTTTCATAGGTTTTGTCTATTACGGAGTATATATTTATATAGACATGCTTGATGTTTTAAAAAGGATAATAATTTTAGAAATGTGAACACAAACGTACAAAAACAAGTATCATGTTACGTTCAATATTAATAAACGAAACTTGGCATCACTGTTGTTGTTGGTGTCATGAATGTCTTTAAAAATTGTGTCATGAATGTTATACGTATAAGTGTATAACATTACTACAAATGTCTTTTTTATATTACAAGTGAGAAATGAAATAAAAAAAGCATGAGGGCCACTCAATCCTTTCATTACTCAACAAGTATTAGACAGCCACGCATAATTCGCAACAAAAAATATATTTAATTAGTGAACATTTATCTGAGGACATATGGAATAAAAACCCAACATCAATTAATTAATTTAAAACCATAATTTTGATTTGGATAATAAATAAATGTTGGCGCGGGCTAACCATACAATGCATCCCCACATTAAAGAGAGCTTGTTTAAATTTCCCATTTCGAATACTCCGTATATTTTTGCCACTAAATAATCATTTATGAAGGGAGAAATCCGTGAATATAAATATCCTTGCGTTTGGTTCAGTTGCTCTGTGCATCTTTCTTTCAATTCTCAACTGTATATCAACACTATATATTTCTCGTTGCAGCTTTCACGAAAAGCAAACGCAAACTATATTGAATCCCGGCAAAAACAAAAAACAAAACATAAATTGAACTGCCTGCCGGAGAAAATGCAAGCATTAAGCAACTGTCAACGGCCGTTGCCGCCGTGTGATTCGACGACAAGGCTGCCGGCCACCACCATTTTCAGCCGACGAAGCTACAGTTTTGCTCCTTCATGTCGTGGCCGTAGGAATCAGCTCAGATGCTCCAGCTCATTCCGATCTCCTCTTACATTTCAACCTCCTTCTCTAGGTTAGAACCACGTAATAATTACTCTAAAATTTACGTAGTACGTAGTACGAAGTATAATTTTCCTTTCACTTTTCACGTTTTTCATTTAAATTTAATGCATTATCCATCTCAATTTGATTTGGACAAAATGAGTTAATTATTTCCGGACAATTTTTAAGTCAATGTTAGTAATTGAATTATATATACTCCCTCGGTAACTTTTTCTTTAGCCAATTTTGTCTTTTCAAGAAATGTAATACGGATCCGTAACATCTTAACGGACTATAATCCGTTGTTTAGATTTTATCTATTGTCTTTTAAAACTTTTATTTTCATGATAATTTTACATTTTCAATCGTTGTTTCAGTTGTGTAACCAAACATGTCTACATATTCAACTAGCATTTCAGTTTGAGTAACTTTTATTTAATTTCATAGAATAGTATCTAAATCACATACTTATTTAATAGACTTCAATGTTAGGTGGTTCTCCTAAATAAACATAGCTTAAAAAAATCAAAAGTCTTAAATAGACTCAGCTAGTCGCCAACTCATTCTCTCTTATGGGAGGTCCCGGATTCAATACATGAATTTGATCCTAATTTATCCCAATCTCCCGACCCGCTCCCCGATCCCACTAGGGTAAAAAAAAGGACCCGACTTGATTGAGTAATTTGTTTCCAAACGAACACTTTATAACACCACAAATTCTTTATTTTTACTACTTATAATTATTTGTGCATATTTATGTAGCCTAGTGAAACTATATACTTTGGCAGATAAGAACGAGGCAAAGTTTATTGAAGCATCTAAGAGCGGGAATTTGATTCCGTTACACAAGTGCATCTTCTCCGATCACTTGACTCCGGTACTTGCTTATCGGTGTTTGGTCGGGGAAGACGATCACGATACTCCCAGCTTCCTCTTCGAGTCGGTTGAGCCCGGTTCACGAACCTCCACCGTGGTAATTACCAACTACATGACGGTCTCCGGCCAATTCCGTTACGAACGTGATATTGATTTCCAGCGGCGTAATTAATTAGCATTGCTTTTTTTGATATGTTTTAGGGACGGTACAGCGTGGTGGGTGCTAAACCAGCAATGGAAATAGTGGCAAAGGAGAATAAAGTGACAATTAGGGATCACGATGACGGGAAGTTAACGGAGATGGTGGTGGAGGATCCAATGACAGTTGCCAGGAGCATCTCTGAAGAATGGAAACCACAGTCCATTGCTAACCTTCCTGATGCTTTTTGCGGTGAGATAATACTTCCTTGGTCCTCTAATATTATCTTATACTAGTACTACTATACGTATTTTCTTTTCATTTTGTTGTAGATTCTCATACCAAACTCATTTTATTTGGGTCTGATTTTACTTTAATTTTATTTAATCAATTCAATATCAAGCAAATAAATTTATTTATTCTCGTGTTGTAATTTTAGTGGGATGCAACGTACTATCGTATTTAACTGTATCATTCTATAGAATTTCTGACACACGGATGGGATCACAAATGAAGGCAAGGCTAATGACAAGATACAAATGATACGTAGGGTAGAGAGAGAGATTTCGGATATTAAGTTTGTAATTTCACTCATTTATAGATTTGATCGATTTGGTCCTATAACCAATGAACATTTAAGGACAAAAATACCAGAAAAGACTATTTTCAAAAACAAATACCAGAAAAGACTAAACGTAGACAGCATTGAAATTTCTATCAACAAGTGTATATTCTTGTCAAAAAGTCTTAGAATTTAACATATTTAATAGTTACATGACTAAATTTTCGAGCAAGTAAAGTTAAACAATTAATAATGGATACATCCAAAAGTTACGGAACTAAAATTGAAATCTCCCTGCGTTCGTGAATTTAGAAAAAGTATGATTTGTTTTCATAAGATTCCATTTTTTGATAATTTTTAAGATTTATTTAGTTCTTATATGTTGATAAAGTCAGTATAATTTGTAACTATATAAACTTCAACAACTAACTAAACCCTAAATATTATGACTTTGAGAGGATAGTTGGGCATCAATAATCACTTTGTGTACGTCTTTTGGGACGTACAATCCACGTAGATTGGCGAATGGCGAGTCTTTAATTAATGAAATGTGCTTATGTGCCGACCTATGCACAGCTATACCTATATGTTTGTGTTAATTTAAGCAATAAAAGTAATCATATACTTCATTAACAGTACTAACCATATATACTCAAAAGTTAATTCCAATCGATCAATTCAATGCTCATACAGTCATACCAATAAAAATGTTCATTGAACATATAAAAACATGTGTTTCCTAAACTCGATAATTCTCAAAATAAATGCATCCTCGTTGGCCAACTAACCCAAGAAGCACGCAATATTTTCGTGAAATTAAATAAGTTGCTGTAATAGCTAGGATCCAGCTTTAAATAACGTACCCCAACATTCAATTGATGAAGAAACCGATTTAGCATGGATGGCATTCCGTATAGTCAGTGTTGATCCAGAGTGGTAGGGTCTGCTGCTTTTCGGTCCAGACCCGTACCCGTCTGAAAGAAAAAAACTAAACCCGGCCATATCCAAGATCGGGTGCAAAGACTTGAAGATTATCATTACATGTTTTTATTTAAATTCATATTCAATTTAAACCGACACAATACATAAATAAATGAAAATTTTCTAGTTAAAATATTTTATTACTTATTGATGAGTAATAAGACAGTAACATTGAGGAGTAAAATTTTGTACTTAAAATTTATATATGCATCTCTCTCATGTCACATGTGTACAGTAACATTGGAGGCGCAGGTGTCATCAAAATCTTGTCTCCGATTTTGAATTAAAATCACTCGAATCCTAGCAACTTTCTTGAAGGTTGCTGTGTAAAAACGCATAGATCTCTGCAAGTATCTTGGCCAAAATCTCGCCCATTATCTTTAAAAAAATCAATTTACATCCTCCCAAATAATTGTTTGATGGGTGCTAGAAGGCGCTTTGTAATTTTAATTCTCATAGGTGACAACATTTTACTATGAAAACAGGTGGATGGGTGGGATATTTCTCGTATGACACTGTTCGATATGTGGAAAAGAAGAAGCTGTCATTTGCAAGTGCACCGCGAGATGATCGGAACCTTCCTGACATTCACTTGGGACTCTATGAAGACGTCATCGTATTTGACCATGTAAATAAGGTATGTGGGACATTCAAAAAACTATCTAGTCGTGTAAAAAGCGATCGAACTGGAGTGTTAGCTATCATGAATGAAAAAATAGAGCAAGTGTGTTTGGCATTTAGGAGCAATGAGTGCATAGCAAATTATTTTAGTAAGTTGTTAGTAGCAAATTCTATCAGCGAGTCTGATTAGTGAAATAAGTTGGTGGATTGTAAAATATGTTTGATAATTTAACTATTTGGTCCGTACGTAATGCTCTAGTTAAAAAAAAACAAACCCAAAAATACCAGGTTCAAATAGTTATTTATCAAATAACATTATTTTTATCTACTGAAAATGATAGAAGAAGTGAAACCGTTTTTTCTTTTCAAATGACATTTTCCAAACACCCTATAGACCCAGTAATATCATAAAATAGTACTATGGACTTGCTAATAAAACAATTGATACTACCGACATATTTTTACGCCTAATTAAGCTTCCAAAGCTTGATTTTTTAAAAAAACTTGTTCAAAAGACCTCATATTACTTGTCTTTGGCATAAATGAGGATGTAGCCACGTTAGGGCCAAGGGGTCAATTTCCATTGCTGAGGAATATCGATTTATTTATAAAAATAATAATAATAATGATGATGATTATACTTTTGTAGAAAGCATTTATTATTCATTGGGTGCGGTTGGATCGTTACTCATCTGCCTCCAAGGCTTATCGCGAAGGAATGAAAAGACTAGACGCGCTTGTGTCCAAAGTCCAAGACATTAATCCGTAAGAAATACTCAAAGTTTTAATTAATAATCTCCCAATTAATTAATTAATTAATTAATTAACTTTGTGTCCATAAATCAATTTATCGATTTGAAATTTGAAAATAGCATTCTAACAAATCTTGTAACGTTTTCTTTTCGTGAATTATTTAGCCCAAGACTCACAGCAGCTTCCGTGGATTTCGACACGAGTGATTTCGGACCATCACTGACCAATGGTAGCATGACAAGTGGCCAGTACAAGAATGCTGTTTTGCAAGCCAAGGAACACATTCTTGCGGGGGACATTTTTCAGATAGTTCTTAGTCAACGTTTTGAAAGAAGGACATTTGCTGATCCATTTGAGGTTTATAGGGCACTAAGAATTGTGAATCCAAGCCCATACATGACCTACATGCAAGCTAGAGGGTGCACTTTGGTTGCTTCTAGCCCAGAAATTTTAACAAGGGTCAAAAAGGTTAGAATGTTTTTCTTGGATTCACTTAGCTAGGGATCAGTAATTGGAATTCGGATTGATTTTTTGCAATTACAAATTAGTTTGATCTAAAATTGGGAACTTTCATTTGAACAGAATAGAGTTACGAACCGACCATTAGCGGGAACTGCTAAAAGAGGGAAGACTCACGAGGAGGATATGATGTTAGAAATGTTGTTGCTAAATGATGAAAAAGAATGCGCGGAGCATACCATGCTTGTTGATTTAGGAAGAAATGATGTTGGGAAGGTTTGTATCCTTTATTATCAACTACCCATATCGAGATATCCGTTTTCGAGCATACTAGGTTAATCTTTCAGTATGAAATCGGTCAATTTAATGAGTATGAAATCGGTCAATTTAATGAAACAAAAATGTGTTCCGACTACATTATCTGACTATCAACTTTGTTTCAATTCATGCAGGTATCAAAACCTGGTTCAGTAAATGTTGAAAAGCTCATGAGCATTGAAAGATATTCACACGTAATGCACATAAGCTCAACAGTGAGTATGCCGCATTCTCATAGTTTATGAAGTTCTTACAAGCAAAACTAGATATGTTTGATTAATAAATTTGCCAAATGGTTTTGGTCAGGTCACTGGGGAGTTACTTGATCGTATGACTTGTTGGGATGCATTGCGTGCTGCATTGCCTGTTGGGACAGTTAGTGGAGCACCAAAGGTCTCAACTCTTATCCTTTATCTCCTCTGATCTTTTACCCCATAAGAACTTGGGAAATAAAATAAGTACTGGTGTAATTGTAACCACTTTTTCATCCATAAAAACTTGGGAAACGAAATAGTACAGGTGTAATTGTAACCACTTTATCATCAATAAGAACTTGGGGAATGAAATAGTACAAGTGTAATTGTAACCACTTTTTCATCAATAAGAACTTGGGAAATGAAATAAATTCAAGTGTAATTGTAACCACTTTTTCATCAATAAGAACTTCGGAAATGAAATAAGTACAAGTGTAATTGTAACCACTTTTTCATGTCCGCCTTTTAGGGGTGTTTGGATATGATTCTTAAAACCGCTTCTGCTCCTTCAGGGAGCAGAAGCAGAAGTTAGAGTTGTTGGGGTGAAAGTCCAGAAGTGATTCTGGTATCTAATTTACTCCTAGAATCAGTTTTTTTAGAAGCTGGGGAGACCAGCTTCTGAAAATTGATTCTGCTTCTTTAAAAAAGAAGCAGAATCAGAATCAGTTCCAAACACCCCCTAAGAAGTTCTTAGATTTATGAAATTGTGAATCCTACATTTGAGTACTAGAGCCCGTTTGGTAATATTGAAATTGACTGAATTGGTTAAATACGTTAAAATTGATGAAATCTAGTTGAAGCGCTGAGTTGACTGAATATGCTGAATTATAGAAAAGTTATTTTTAAAATGTATTTTTATAAATACAATAAAGCAAAAATTATATGAGAAATAGTTAATATGGTACTCTACATTAGCTTCAATCAATTCAGCCAGAAAATAACTCCTTACTTAGATTGTTACACAATTCAGCGCGCAAAGTAAAAAGTTATAGGTTTGGAAGAAGAAAAAATTGGCCGATAATGTTGAAATTTAGGACTACCAAATGGCCTCTTACTCGATTAGCCATGTCTTCGGAAAATTTAGGGATAAAAAGCTCTGAGCCAAAAGTTAAAAAATAGGGATAAAAATAGAAAAGGCTTAATTTTTGTTGGAACAAAAGCTAAAAAAGTTCTACACCAAATTGTAGTTGAACATTATCAAAACGGCTATGTTTTTTTGCACAGCCTACAAGATGTTCAAAAACTCATTGCCCTACATCATATTAGGTAAAAGCCATGGAGCTAATTGATCAATTGGAAGCAACAAGAAGAGGGCCTTATAGCGGAGGATTTGGAGGGATTTCCTTCCTAGGAGATATGGACATTGCACTGGCTCTAAGGACAATGGTGTTTCTTAAAGGAGGGACCAACAATGACACGTATGGTCATACAAGGGGGAGTCAAGAATGGATCGCTCATCTCCAATCTGGAGCTGGTATAGTAGCGGATAGCAATCCTGAGACCGAGCAGAAAGAATGCGAAAACAAGGTTGCCGGTCTTTGTCGTGCCATTGACTTGGCCGAATCGGCATTCGTAAAGGCGAAACCAGAGCCGCTGCCACCAGTCCGTTTATACACCCCGATGATGAGACACCGCGTGAAAACAACATCATAGCTTTGATTAAAAACTGGCAATTCTAGTTGTTTGTCCCTATGTTTTAATAGCTTCTTTAACACTTCTCTACGGTAATATAAGTATCATTTCTCTATGCTTTTGTGCAGGTTATTTTTATGTCGATATCACATGGGTCAACATTTGGCCCTTTTATACTTTATTACTCTACAAAGCAATATAGGTCATGTGAAATGTAACAGTTCACCTTTGTAAATTTAAAATGTTATGCTTTATAGTGATTTACCATGTTTCTTTTGTGCGCAGTGTATTACCATATATGTTAACATTATTCATTATGTATAATACAATATGCCGGTTCTTTTACATTATTGCGTCAAATATTCAATAATCAAACTCACCTTTCCCTTCAAATATGATTTTAAGAGAATTACAATTCTCGCAAAACGCTAGTATTTGCAGCTGTTTGGCCACAAAACGCCAATAAATAAACAACGCCAATGTCAATTCTAGCACATGAGGGTTTCCGAAAATTAGCTCATACACAAATAAACCCCACACTAAAAATCAATTGGGCTATCCTCAAACAGATTTGGTCTCTCAATTGGGAAACGAATTGAGAAAAGAAAACAAAAACAAAAACAAAACATTGAAGATTGCATTGGTGTGAGATGCAACGTGCCAACAAAGTGAACAAACTATCAAGTAGGGATGGACTCGCGCCGGGCGGCCCGCCCCGGAACCGGCCCGGACCGGCCATTGTTTGAACCGGCCCGGTCCTGGAACCGGGCTCTAGGGCGGTTCGGGTCGACCCGGCCCGCTAGTCATACGATTCGGGCTCGGGCCCTAGGAATGGTGAACCGGCCCGGCCGGTCTGGGCCCGGTCCGGGCCAAATTTATTTTATTTTTTTTTGAATTTTTTTTAAGTTTTTGGGTTGGGCTGAGTATTTTGGGCCATTTGAGGTGGTTTGGGGGTGAGGGGGGAGGGTTGGGAGTTAATTAGGAGAAGCCAAAAAAAAGATTGGACCGAGGCCCGGCCTGACCCGAACCGGACCCGGGGGTTACCCGGGCCGGTTCCGGGCCTCCCATATCTGAACCGTGAACCGGCCGGGCCCGAACCGGCCCGAGGCCATCCCTACTATCAAGATTATAATGGAGTTATTAACAGTGATACAAAAGTCCAAATTGTTTCAATTTAAAGCATATAATTGCTTTTGTCTTTTCATTTAATAAAATTCTTGAGCAACTCTTTCCTGCCATGTTATTCTTTTCTAAGGATTATTTATTTAAGTTCTTGAGCAAGTCTATGAAACTCTCCAAACAGTTATTCATGTTTCCGTGCATCATAGATTTTTGTTGATTTGGTTTTCGATTTTTGGTCTCACACCAAGCTGCCCCTGTCCCATAGACAAAACTAGGCATATCCTATTAAGACTTGGGTCTGTAAGCCTAAATAGGGTATGAGAGATCAAACTAAGATTCAACCAATTAAACACTCGGATTTCCAGATAGCTCTGGTTCTACCAGAGACAAAATTGTTTTGCATTGTAGAATTGCAGGGTGCATTAGGTCATCCAGATATCCACCCACAACTAGGACCTTGAACTGGTTAATCATGGAGCCAAGCAACTATCCCCAAGCTTTAACAAATTCTATATTTTCAAAGAATTTGGTCATACCTTTCCCAGTCGAATACAATGAACAAAACTGATTAGTAAAGGACAATCAGTTCATTCAGAGTATAATCAGAGTTCAAGCAATGAAATATACATACTTCATCCATTCCTCACATATATTTTGCAATTCGATACACACAGCTTCGCAGCAGACCAACATCATCAATACACTTATACACAGAAAACAATAAGAAAAGGAACAATTTCAAACTCTGGGGAAACGAAGATGACAAAATTTAAAACACCAAAAAAAGGAAATCCGAAATCTCTGTATGAATTCCATTATGTGCGGTTATCGTAATCGAGGATCTCGTTGTCCGTGACTGACCTGGAGTGCTGAACTATGGATCGGCCGATTGAATTGATCCAATCCTCCTTCTCCTTCTCGGAATCGGCGATGAAGTACATCGTATCGGACCGAGTAGATAGCTCGAAGGCGAACTGCTTGTTCACCACATCCTCCGCGCCCTTCACGGTCAGGCAAGTGGCGACCGGAATCACGCCGCGAGGGCGCGATTCGCGCGTGACGCTGGAATCCTTGAACCAGAAGAGCTTCCCCTGCTTCATCACGAACCACCGGCGCCGCCACGTCTTGATATACTCGCCTTGCTTCGTAAGCCACCCGGTTCGCTCAGGGTTCGACCAGTACTGCACCCCGTCGTAGTCCTCGCTCGATTCCGACCACTGCCGAGAGCCGCCCACCACCGCTTGCCACAAGCTTAACATTTCGTCCGTCGGGGTCTTCAATGAGATTCAACAGAGCAAATCCCAGAGAAAAAGGATGCAGCGAGATGTAGGTAGACCATGTGGCGTGCAGAAAGCGAGACAGGTACTATACGACTATACGTATGTGTTCCTTTGTTGTTTTAGTTTTTGACCAACGCTCACTTTTTGTGTATTTTTTGGGGAAATGGAAATTAACAATCCAACTTTTAGGCGGTTTTCTTACAATAGTCTCATCTTTTCGTTATTCACGAATAATCCAACCTTTGCACTCCACCTTCATTCATTGGTCTCCTACCGGTTCATGACCTGCTATTCCAAGTTATTTTCTTCTCTCTGCAAAATATAAGATGAGGTGCAACCTTTTTTTATCTACCTACAAAATATAAGTTTTTTTTTTTGCAGAGATAAAAAAATAACTTGGAATAGCAAGTCATGAACCGGTCAGGGACCAGTGAATGAAGATGTGGTGCAAAAGTTGGATTATTCATGAATAACGAAAAGGTGGGACTATTGTAAGAAGACCGCTTAAAGGTTGGATTATTAATTTCCATTTTCCCTATTTTTTTTAGATCTAATGACATATTCGGTCTCATTTGCCTGTTTTCAACGTTATTAAAATTTCACATTTTTTTGTTTGAAAAAATGATTAATATTCTCAAATGATATATTTGATCATCAAATATTAAATATTAAATAAAATTGAATAGCTTTATTTAATTAATATTTAAATAAATTAGTCATTTTCTATATATAAGAATTAATTCCTTTTAGTTTATATTTTATTTTTCTATATTGAATTTACCACAAACATATAAATATTTCATATTTATATTTTCTATTTTCAACTTATTTTTATTCTATTTTTCATTTTCTATTTTTATTTTTTATTTCTATTTTTTGTAATTTTGACCTTTTTTAAGAGTTGAGGGGTTGAATTGAACGATTTAATCAGATTCGAGGGCTTATTTGACCACTTAAATTGTGACGTCACATGCACAGTTGGAACTCTATCAGGTGATGTGGCGGCGACCAGATTGTGACCTGCATAAAGCGAAACTTGAATTTTTTTTGTCGAGTTAAGAGTACTGATTGGAACTTTTTTTAGTTTAAGGAGCAAATTCAATAATTCAAAAAGGTACAAGGGCCTATTTGACCCTTTACCATATTAAATTTGAAGAAAACAGAACTAATACTATTAGACATATTATACAAAAATAGAATAAATTTTTATTTAGAACAAAACAATGAGTCAATGTGAGATCACGTCATAGTAAAACTTGATATGATAACTTGTAGGAACTACATTGACACTCCACTATAATTAAAAGGAAGAATTTGACTTTGCATCCAACTTTTTGGGTGATATTGAATCTTGCACCACATTTTAAAATAAAATGACTTTGCACCCCCGAAAAATTTGTGAATAGGGTGCAAAGTCAAAAAAAAATTAAGTGAAATGGGGTGCAAAGTAAAAGTTTTTTTAAATGGGGTGCAATGTCCAATATCACTAAAAAAAGTGGGATGCAAAATCAAATTCTAATTAAAATGGTTGAAATCTATTATGGGAGAAGGAAATTCACGACATTATAACGTTCTCGACATGGGCTAATACAAATTGAATTTTTTCACTTTGATCAGCCAAATATATGGATGTTCATGTTTACCTATTTATATATCACAATTTCAATTAAAGTGTTAAATTCAAACGTTTTTTATTTTTTATCCTACACTTGAATGTTATGTTTTTATATTCAAACCACTGTCTTAGTATGTTGTTTTTTGTGTCATCCCATTTTGGTTTGTATAGATACATATACATATATTCATATACATGCCATTCTCAATTAAATACATTTATAAAGAGATACAGAGTGGTATATATAGACGCCGAGGCAGGGGGCAATCTAGGCTCAGGCGCACTCCAAAAAAAAAATTTGTACCTTGCTAGCCTAGTGCCTTGACTAATGAATGTTGCAATTGGAACATATTGTTTTGTTGATAACAAACAATTAATATTATTTGTGTGGTATAAAATGATTGCAGAAAAATGATTTAAGTCGTGCTCCCAAAGAAGTCATAGATCTGGTCCTGAAATTGCCCTGCGGATCCAAGATTGATTATCTTGGCTTACTTAAAATATTTTTTCTCTTCATTCAAATTCGATTTGGTCTTGCTAAATTAAAGAGAATTTTTTATTAAGGAAATAATCGATGATCTTACGCTGAAAGGATTTTTCTTTAAAAGAAAGATAATTAATTAAAGTCATTAATTAAGAGATCTTTTCCCAAAACAAGTTTCCAAAATAAAAAGAGTTTTTCAAATTTCAAAATGGATTTTTGTGCATCTCCTCTCACAAAGAATGTTTCCTTGAGAAAAATATTTTCCTTCACGCAAATAAAAAGAATGTGTTTTAAATAATTCCCATGCAAGAAGTGTAACACCGTCCCCAAGTATATTTACTTTTGTGTAAATTATGCACTGAACCTTATGAAATGGTTAATGAATTTACGAGGTTGTAAATTTTTGTTAATTCTTTTGCGTGAATAGTAAATTGCACGTGGGGCCCACACGGGAGCGGGGACCACCCGATATTCCCGAGACCGCATATTTTATTCATCTTGGTATAGATAATAGTTATATGGTGGTGGACATTTACTTTGGGCCATAAGAAAGGCATTGGGTTGACCGACCGGTCAAACAAGGCCCAATTACCGGTTGTGGGTAATTTATCGGATAACAGTCCGAAATGAATTTCGGGGACTTCCAAATTAAAGTTGGGGAATGTATAATCATCCTAAAGGCCCATTATGATGGGGAGTAAGTGTTATATTTTATTCGACTCAATAAAATAAAATATAATTAAAACAGTCCGAGAAATACAACTTTCGGGACCGATTGTACACTTCGGGACATAATGGGATGACCTCCCACATGAGTGGGGGCCACCCCACGTTTTTTGA